CTGGGCCAGGGAGTGGTGATTTTTATTCTGTGTCTCTGGCCACCACTAATCCAACCGTGTGTGTTTGAGAAATAGAAAAAGGCACCCTTTCTTGTGGGTGGGCACAGCCTTGCTCAGGACGGGAAGGGCTTATCCAGTGAAGTTCAAGGGGGAATCGCAGCCCCTTCCTGCCTGCGTCCTTTGTGCAGGGCACAGGCCACTCACCCTCAGCAGCCTTGGCTGCAAGTCATGGAAGGTTTTTGAGTTGCACAGTGTCACAGTTTGGTTTGGGTCTTGTGATGGTCACTTGGGGATGGAGGAACGGTTGAAGTGTGCAGTGGGCAGGGTGGGGAAAAGGAGAGAAGCACATGAGTTGGGCAGGATCTAAGGGAGGGGGGCCTGATTTGAGCAGGAAGGGAAGCAGGTAGGTTGTTCCTGGGGAGTGCTCTCAGCCAGCCAGGGCATCCTATGGTGGACCCAGGGGTTGCCAGCTGACCAGAGCAGAGGGCAGAGGAAGTGAGCATAAGACCCCCCACCCCCTTGGGCAGGCTCCTGACTCTTCCCTCACCCACCCCCAGAGCTGGGGGATCTTCCTCTTGTCCGCCTGGATTTCTCCTGTAACCGTGTCTCCCGCATCCCGGTCTCCTTCTGCCGCCTCAGGCACCTGCAGGTCATTCTGCTGGACAGCAACCCCCTGCAAAGCCCACCTGCTCAGGTGAGGGGTGGGTTTGGGGCAGACCATGGGGACAGAGCTGAGAGTGGGTAGGAGTTGGGAGGTGTGTCCCTTTTGCAGATAAGCAGGATCTGGGGGAGCCCCCAACCCCTACCTTGTGGCTCTTTATACCTAGATCTGCCTGAAGGGGAAGCTTCACATCTTCAAGTACTTGTCAACAGAGGCTGGGCGGCGTGGGGGGTCTGCACTGGGGGACCTGGCTCCTTCCCGCCCCCCGAGTTTCAGTCCTTGGTAAGTTCCGAGTGGGAAGGAAGGAAGCCCCTGGATACTTGCTGCCTTTTTCTGGCAGTGTGGGACTCCATGGGTTTTGGTGGGAAGATGAGAGGGGTTGCCGCCCGATGTCAGACTGACTAGCTCTCCCTGGCTGGCACTAGCCCCGCTGAAGACTTATTTCCGGGACGTCGGTACGATGGTGGGCTAGACTCAGGCTTTCACAGCGTTGACAGCGGCAGCAAACGGTGGTCTGGAAATGAGGTAAGGGCCTCTTTTCCGAGGGACATTAGGGGTCTCAGCCCCCAGGGAGAACCTCTGAGCCGGGACCTTCTGCTTGGTGCCTCTGAATGTCAAAGTGACAGTTGGTGGCTGGAGTGGTCTTCTGCCCTTTCCCAAGTATCTCGAGGAAAGGCTGGCTCAGCAGCAGACACCAAGGGCCTGAACCCCATGAACCCCCAGCACTGCTGGGAAGCTGACTCCCATTTTTGCATTTCTGTATTTACAGTCAACAGATGAATTTTCAGAGTTGTCCTTCCGAATCTCAGAGCTGGCCCGGGAGCCTCGTGGGCCCAGGGAGCGGAGGGAGGATGGCTCTGGTGAGTGGTGGGGTCGGGATAAGGGGACTGGGATAATGGACGGGTCCCAAAGGCCCCCATCTGCTTGCTGACGTGCCCTGGCCTCTCCAGCTGACGGAGACCCTGAGCAGATTGACTTCATTGACAGCCATGTGCCTGGGGAGGATGAAGAGCGAGGTGCTGCTGAGGTGAGGATCTGGCCCCTGTCCGTGTGCCCAGTAGTGTGCTGTGCCCTGTGGGACAGGAGAGCGGAGGGAGGGAGCTGGTGAAGTCTTGGGGTAACGGGTTCTCCCTCAACCCTTCTGCCGGTCTTTCTTTAGGAGCCCCAGCCACCAGAGTTAAGCCCTGTGGCAGGGGACGGAGAGAAGGCACCAAGCAGCAGGTACCCCAGAGCCATCTGAGCCGGCACCTCCTCCCTTTACCCTATCACCCTGGACCCTCCCTTCCCTCCTGACCCTGCTCTGCCTCACTGCTCCTGCCTCTGCCCCTCCCTCTGCCAGGCGGGAGGAGCCGGCTGGCGAGGAGCGGCGGCGTCCGGACACCTTGCAGTTATGGCAGGAACGGGAGCGGCAGCAGCAGCAGCAGCAGCATAGCGGAGTGTGGGGGGGCCCCCGGAAGGACAGGTGTGGGCAGAGGGGAGGGGCAGGGTGAGGTGGGGGGCTTTGGAAATGAGCCCTCATGAGCTACTCAGCCCCTCAGGGTTTGCGGGTCCCCTTCCTGCACTGCCGACCCCACATCTCCTTTGCTTTCTAGTTTTGTGAAACTGGGGGTCAGGGCTGCTGGCGGAGGTACTGCGGCCTCATCCACTCAGGCCTCCTACAAGTATGTGTCCTCCCCGACTCCACCTCCCTGAGCCGTCTCCCTGCACACCCTCTCCTGACCACTCCTTCTAAATCACTTTGTGTCTGTCCTCAGCGGCATGCCCAAGTCCAGTGCCACCCAACTGGGAGCTTCAGGGGGGCAGGCAGCCCCCGCCCCTGCCCCCACCCCTGCCTCTCAGGAGCCCCTTCCTGCAGCTGGACCAGGTTGGACAGGGACTTTGGGAAGAGGATGGGGGACTGTGTAGGTGAGGGGGTGGCTGGGGCCTGGTGGCCTGAGGGAAGCGTGGGACTCTGAGGAGTGTCTTTCTCACCTGCCCTCTGGCCTTGGCCCCCAGCAACAGTGCCTGCTCCCCGGCCGCTAGGCTCCATTCAGAGACCAAACAGCTTCCTCTTCCGTTCTTCCTCTCAGAGTGGCTCAGGTGGGTTTCTCCCTGTCCCCAGGGCTAACCCAGCACTAACCCCTGGGCTGCGGTCACCCCTTCTGGCCTGGGAGTTCTCCAGTCTATTGTCCCTTTGTGCTGAAAATCCCCCCAAGCACAGAGGCAGGAGATGTGGGTGCCAGACACAGTGACCCAGCTGGAAAGTTGGTGGTGGGTGGTAGAGACAGCCCACATTCCTCCTTTTTCTCCAGGCCCTTCCTCACCAGACTCTGCTGTGAGGCCTCGGCGACCCCCCCAGATTCTGGACGAGAAGGAGCTGATGGCACAACTGCGTCAGGTGAGAGAGGTGGGATCTGTGGGGGCGGGGAGGTGGCTCCGTCACACCCTGTGGGGGTCTCCTCGAGGACGGAAGCGACGGGTGGGGGTCCCCACTGACCCTGACTGCTACTCCTTCATCCTCCTCCCCCCTAGGTCCTTGAGTCCCGACTGCAGCGGCCCCTGCCTGAGGACCTGGGGGAGGTTCTGGCCAATGGGGTCATCCTCTGTCAGCTGGCCAACCAGCTGCGGCCCCGCTCTGTGCCCTTCATCCACGTGCCCTCACCTGCTGTGGTCAGTGGTGTCCCGGGGTGGGAAGTAGGACAGAGGACTGCCGGGGCCTCTCTTACTCTCTTCTTTTTCCTCTCTCGCCTGCCCACAGCCAAAACTCAGTGCTCTCAAGTCTCGGAAAAATGTGGAGAGTTTCTTAGAAGCCTGTCGAAAAATGGGGGTGCCTGAGGTATGGGGGCAGTGTTCTCAGGAGCCCCGGGGCCAGTCCCTACTATAGAGTGGCGACGTCCTGGGCTCAGCTGAGCACTCCACATGGATGGCAGGGTTCCATCCACAGGGGTGTCTGCTCCCCAGAAGGAACCACGTCCACAAGTCCCTGCCCTGCATGCGTCCCTGCCCTGCATGCGTCCCTGCCCTGCACTCTGCATGTTGGTGTGGCTCAGGCCTGGCACGTGAGGGCAGGGGGTGGGGAGGGATTGTCTTGCTGCTGCTGCTGACGTCTGCTCTTTGTCCTTGTCCATCTGTCCTACTCTCCCTTCCCAGGCTGACCTGTGCTCGCCCTCGGATCTCCTCCAGGGCACCGCCCAGGGGCTGTGGACCACCCTGGAGGCTGTGAAGCGGGTGGGGGGCAGGGCCCCCCCACCCCTCTGGCCCCCCTCTGGTCTGGGCGGCTTCATCCTCTTCTACGTGGTCCTCATGCTGCTGCTCTATGTCATCTACACTCGGCTCCTGGGTTCCTAGGACCTGAAGTCACCCTTTCTCCCGCCCCTTCCACCTATTTCTATTTATAAGACTCCTGTGCAACCCCCGTCCCTACCAGTGGTGCCTTCAGCCCCTACCAAAGACACTAGTGAACCCTATCCTCTCACACACACTGACCTCAGAGGCCCCACTCTGGTTCCCCCAGACCCTGGGCCCCCAGCCTCTGGCCACCCTCCTGTAGCCCCTTCCCGTGCCCCTCACCTCTCTGTGCTGATGGTGCCTTCATTCCCTCCAGGCCCTGCCCTCCCCTCTGTTCCCTCAGAGGGTAGATCTCAACCTTCTTCCTTGTGCCGTCCCTCCATCCTGGTCCCCCCACTGTTATGGGGAGCTAAATTATCTATGTTTTGTAGAGAGAACTCTATATTTGTAGGAGATGCAGGGGCCCAGGCTGGGTCCCTGTCTCTGTGTATAAATTGTACAGACTGTGGCCGCCTGTGTGTGTGTGTGTGTTTGTGTCTGCCCCTGTTGCGGCCCGGCCCAGCCCTGGCCGTGCCCCTTGGGCTCTGTGTGCCAGCCTGCCTACTCCAGCATTTCCCTCTGGAAATAACAGGTGTCTCCTCCCCTGAGCCTTGGCCCCCTGTGTCATCTCCCTTCTGTTACCTGCTGGCAGCTTCCTTGCATCTCATTTGTCCCAGGCCGTGTCTAGGGTGCCCCTGACCTTTGCTGCCTCCACCTAGAAGGACTGTCCTGTCAGCCCTGTTTGCCCAGGCTTCTTTGGGGTTTCACCCACCCTGCTCCCAGGAAGGGCAGGGAAGCCGAGAGAATGAGGTGACATAGGGAACTTAACCCGGGCCCCTCCCCCCCAGGAGTCCCTGTGCCAGTCCCACCACATCCTGGAAGAGGAGGGGGCCCCAGGAAGGGGCCTCCCCTACATCGCTGCTGTCGTCCACGCACTGCTGGAAAGGCCATAGGGTTGAGGTAGGGGCTCAGGGCCCCGACCTGGCCTGGAACCCAGGAACAGAGAAGACAGCCACCCCGGCTTCCGCTTTCTAGCAAGGACTCTGGTGAGGGCGGCCTTGGGCCTGGCCCTGTTCTTTGGGCTCCCCTGGGCCCTCCCAAGGGCTTGGAAGCCGGCTCCAACCAGCAAGGCGCCCTGGCCGCCTCTAGGTGTGGCCGAGGGTCTTGTGTCAAGTGCAATAAAGAACCCGGGCCCTCTAGGCTGCCGTGTGTGTGTGTGTGTCCCTCTAGGCTGCCGTGTGTGTGTGTGTGTGTGTGTATGTGTGTGTGTCCAGTGTGTGTCCATCCATCTGTGAATGAAAGTGGTGCGTCGCGGGGAAGTGGTCGCCTCCGCATTGGTGTCGGGGTTATGTAGTTCCCCGCGTGTCTGTGTGTCCATCGTGTCGGGGTTATGTAGTTCCGTGTGTGTGTGTGTGTGTGTGTGTGTGTGTGTGTGTCCATCTGTGAATGAAAGTGGTGCGTCACGGAGAAGTGGTCACCTCCGCGTTGGTGTCGGAGTTATGTAGTTCCCCGCGCCAGGCGCCATGGGCGGACCCAGGCGCCATGGGCGGACCCAGCCACCCCTGCCGCCAGGGGGCGTCCGCGGGATCCCGGCGGGAGCGCGCGCCACGTGGCCCGGAAACGTGCTGGGCGTCGGAAACGTGCTGGGCGTCGGCGTGGCCGCGAGGCCCCGCGAGATGGGCGGGTTGCTGCGGGAGGTGGGGGCCGTGAGAGGGCCGCGTGGGGCTGCGTGCTGCGAGGTGGGAGGCGCAGACCGCGCGGACGCGGGGCACGGAGCTGCTGGCGTGCGCTGCCCTCCTCCCAAGACAAGGCATGTTCCCCGGGCCGCCTCGGCGGTGGGACGCGGCCAAAGAGCAGGAGCTCGAGGAACATGGCCCTTCGGCCGGCAGTGACCCCGAGGAGGCCTCGACCTCTGGAGAGGAAGCCCTGGGGGAGCCAGGAGCTCCCCCACAGGACAGGTGAGGGGCTGGGCGGGAGGGAAGTCCGATAGGGGGCCCACAGTGTGAGATCTCCATTGCCGACACCGAAAAATGGTTGTGCTCAGACTCCCTGCGCCGGGCACCCTCGGCCCTGCCTGGGAAGTACCCGAGGGAGGCTGTGACCGGTGCACCTCAGTACCTCCCGCTCCCAGCCCACAGCCCTGGTCGCGAAGGCCCTCCTGGAGCCGGAGAGAGCAGCTGCTGCCCCGGCCCCCGCCAGGCCTGGCTGCGGAGCACTCCCCGGGAACCCCAGGTAGGTTCAGGCCTTGTGGCCTTTACCCTACAAGACCCTTACACCGACTCCCAAGCCTGTTTTAATCTTTGTCCCCCACCCCACAGTTGCCCTGTCCCCCCAGATGGCCTGGGAGGTGGCTCCCTCAAGGATGACCGTGTTAGCACCGTGGGATCCCAACTACAAGGCTAAAGCAGGACCCCAGCAGGTGTGGGTGAGTTGGGAGTACCTATGGCTCTGGCCTGGGGGTGGGGCAGAGGTGCCTTGGAGGGAGCCCAAGCTCCAGTGTTTCGTCGTGCCCCCTCCACAGGGGCCCACCTGTTCATCTGGCACCTCCTTCTCAGGCCGGACTTTGTGTCATCCCTCACTGTGGCCGCTGTACGAGGCAGCCTCAGGCCGGGACCTCAGGTCCCTGGCCTCTGCAACAGGACATCAGAATGGAGAGCATGTGCCCAGGGATGCAGGTACTTTGCTTGGTGCCCAGGGCTCTGGAGTGGCCCTGCACGAGCTCCTCCGGGAACCGGTGCAGCCCTCGCCAATGCAGGAACCCCCTACCAGCTTCTCCTCTCCAGGGTTCCCGGTGATGTGCTGTGAAGATGTCTTTCTTTCAGATCCTCTGCTGCCACGTGGGCAGCGTGTTCCCCTGTACCTCTCGGAGGCCTCTCAGCAGGTGAGTCTCATTCCCGCCCTGGCCTCACCCTAGTTCTCATGCAGGGCTCCGGAGGAGACACTTCCCCCTTCTCTCTCCTCAGGTGATGGGCTCTCTGAAGTTGCTGCTCCCACCTCCTATCATGTCTCCCTGGGTGCTCCGCACTCCATCCCCTGGCTGCTCTACTGCCTGGCTCAGTGGGCCTGAGCTCATCGCCCTCACTGGCCTCCTGCAGATGAGCCAGGGGGCTCCTAGACCTGTGGCTTCGGAGGCTCCCACGCCCCCTGCTGGCCCCCCAGACCCTGTATCTGACCACGGAGGCCCCAGCAGTGGCCCCAGCTGTTCTCACTGCACTGACCCATCTGCCCCTCAAACCCCAGACACCCATTGAACATACCCCTTCTGGGCACGGAGTGGGTCTCCTACTCCCCCAGACAGGTTCTGTTGAACAATAAAAGTGTTGGTTTGCAAACAGGCTCTTTGTTGTGAGTAGCAGAGCGGGACATGGAGACAGGGATGGGGTCTTTTCCTCTACATGGCTTAGGCTGCCCTCCCTTCAAATTCGTGTTGTTCCTTGGTCTCCCCTACAGTAGGTCAGGGGAATCCATGGACCTAAGACCTTTCCAGACTGACCAAGGAGGACACCTTTAATAGGGCAGGGTGTGTGGGATCCACAGTACAGTCCACAGTATATGGAAACAAGAACTCTATCAGCTCTGCCAGGCTCTATGGAAGGGAGGATTGTGTGAACACGTGGCTGGTGCTGGGAGAGGGAAATCAGGGAGTAAGGGGGTGGCACAGCACTTGTGGGAAGCAGTAGAGGTAAAGTACCTGGTGCTTTCAGCCCTCTTGCTTGGGGTCTTGGGAGTTGAGCTCTGGGGCTGGGGCTTATTTCTTTGGCTGGGAGGAGACACAAAGCAGGCCCACAAGGCAGGTAGGGAGGAGCAGGTCCATGTGAGAGAAGTCATCAGAGACGGGGAGGGGGGCCAAGACCGGCCTGGGAGTCTGGAGTGATGCTTCAGGAACTCTGCCAGGAGAGAAAGGTTCAGGGCTTTGCTGGGGGTTTGTGGGTGGCAAGAAGGGAGGGTGGTTCTAGAATTTTCTCCCTTAAAAGAATCCCGCTTCTTGGGGACCTTTTCCTGAAGATTTCCCAGGCACCACATCTGGAAGGGGCAGAGTGGGCAGGAGGCTGTAAAGGGCAGCTCAGAGCTTTCTGCAAGTCACAGGTCCAGGGGGACCTGAGAGCCTCTCTACCTTGGGAATGGTGAGGGGAGGAGTTGAGGGGAACCAGCAGGGAGGCATTTGCTCTGTTTTCTCTCCCCTCCTCATCCATAGGTAAGCTAGACCGTACGGGGCTGCCCGGGTCTCCTCACTGGAACCTCCCTGAGGTTCTGGAACTCGATGCGGGCATAGCTGTATGGGCGGTGAATGCCGGACCCTGGGGCGTCGCCTTGAGCCTCCAGTGGAGGCACCAGGTCTAGGTCTATGTAGTTGAGGTGGCTGTTAGCCGGGTCTTGTATGGCAGAGCCCATTCCCAAGTAGTCCTGGGCCACGTACTTGATGCACACGTACTCTCCTGCTAGCTCTGAAGGTGACTGCAAGCAGGGATGAGCCCCTGCCAGTCCCCAACATTCCCCCACCCCGGGAGGGGGCCCTTGAAAGGAAGGTCCCTGCCTCCTGGGCCCGGGCTTATAGGAACCAGGCAGGGAACTCGAGGGAAAGGACCCTGGCAGAAAGTGGGTCATGGGCACATATTCAGTGCCCCTGCAGCCACGGAGCTGCTTGTGCGGAGGGGTGTGGACAGAGGCCGCAAGGCCCGGGGGCGCCATCACCATGTAGCCACCTGCTTCGCCACCCCCCATGGGCTCATAGTCGCTCCTGGCTCCCATGGCTACATAGCCCCCGCCCTGTTCCAGTTCTCCGGGGTGCAAGGCTGCCAGCGTCGCTAGGGTCTCAGGGGTTGCTTTCTCTATCCTCTCACCCACGACCCCGCGATGGCTCAGACCGCTTGATTGGGCTGCCGAGGCTAGGGTCGCATAAGGTTGGGAGACAGAGGGTCTATAAACGCTCATAGCCCTTGGCAGTGGCTCAGCCCTGCCACTGGTACCATCATCCCCGAGTTGCTTCATGGCGGCCAGTACGGTCTCGTGAATGCTTTGGGCCACCACGGCGTCGGGCGCCTGTAGCCACAGCTCCCCAGGACCCGTGGGTGCCGAGCGGCCGAGTTCCAGGAAAAAGAAAGAGTCTGCGTGGCCACAGCGGCGCACGCTGAGCAGGGACAGGCGCAGGGCAGGCGGCTGCGAAGTCTGGGTGCTTCCAGAGCCTCTGCCCTTGGGCTTCCGTAGCAGGCTCAGCACCCCCGAACCCAGGCACAGGCGATAGCGGCCGCTGCCCAGGCCTCGTGTCCGCCCCAGTCCCTTGGGCTGCAGCGTCACAGGCCAGACGTCCTGAAATGGAGCGAGGATCCAGGCCCTGGGGTCCTCCTGAAAGCTGGGACCTGGAGAGAGAGTGGGCTGGTCACAGGGGGCTCCTGGGCTGGGAGGTTGGAGAATTTTCTGTGCCCTGAGAATTAACGTCTTAACCTTTCATGTTTGAACTTGATTTTCCAAGACTTACCGGGAGGGACAACCTACGATAAACGAAACCCACGATCACCCAAACCCTAGCTCCGGGCTGCCACCCCCAGCCCGTCTCCACCTGCCCAGGGCTCCAGCCTCACCCGCGGCTGCGCGCACCTCGAGCAGGGCGCTATACCACGCCTGCTGCTCCGCCTCGCAGGCCGCCGCCACACCCAGGCTGCGGTCACGCGTGTACAGGACGATCAGGTGGCGCTGGCGCGCGTCCACGCGCGTGCTGATGGTGCACGCGCCCGCCAAGCTCACGCTGAGCTTGGGCGGCGCTCGGCCGGCACGGAATTTCTTCTCGCTCTCGTAGCACTCTAGGCTCGGCGGGTCCGCGCGCAGCACGAAGAAGCGGAGGCGCTGGGACTTCTGCTTCCGAAGATGGCCGCAGAGCCGCACGTCAGCCGGACAGGCCCAGGGCCGCGGCAGAACCAGGGGCACGTCGCCCGGCTCGGCCTCTGGGGCCGCCCTGGGACTACCGTCTCCCGGCTTCATCATGGGCCAAAGGCAATATAGTGGCCGCAGTAGGGGCTTGAGACTCGGTAGGGTGGAGGTGGCCGTTTCCAGGGAGGGGGGCAGCGTCCTAACAGGTTGCCACCTGTCTTTATGCCCAGCGTCTCACCTCAGCTTCCGACTTGAAGTTTGGGGCCTGGGGTCTGCGGTGGCCTCTTGCTACGCGCAGCGTGTACCCCAGTAGCTGCCCGGCCCGGCCCTCCCCACGCCTTGGGCCGCCTGGTGTCCTTTCCCTCCCTTTGCCTACCGCTCCAGAGTCCCCACCCCCCGCGAGGTTAACCCTCGTGCGACCTGAGCGCTGGGCACCGGGGGCTGTGAAGTCTGATGGGGAAGGCTGGGAGGGGCAGCCTCCACCCCACCCCAACCACCCTTGGGCTGGGGTTGCAGAGGCGGGGAGTGTGTGGGCGGCTCTACGGATCCGAGCTGACTGCCAGGGGAGCGACCAAGTGAGGCGAATGTGAGTGGAACTGTGTCAGAGGCTACTGAGCAAGAGTCCGCAGTCCGGTCAATTAGGGGACCGCCCTTACAGCAGCACTGCCTTTTGCTCCTGACACTGGCCACTCAGGATCTAGGCGTCTGGCTCCTGTGTCCCCCGTTCCCACCCAGGAAAGGTTTTGTATCTTTCCTTCCCAAGCCAGCCTAGGAGCCAGGGCCACCAATCACTGGGCTGTGCTGATTTCAGAAGAGTTGAAGGTTTAGTTTCTCTCTGGGTTTAGGGTGATAGGAGGGTTCTTCAGATAAGTTAACTTCTGGATTGGTCTCTGTGCATAGACCATTCCACCAGAATTCCAGTCAAGGGAACATTGGGGGAGAACCGGTGGAGGAAGACACCATCTCTCAGGGGCACTGCCCTCCTGCTGCCCTCCGTCCCTTCTTACCACCACTGTCCCAAAATGCCACCATGGGCCATCTGAAGGCTCTGACCAGAGGTGCAGACTCTCTGGTGGGGGAACCCCATCCTAAGAGATTTGAGACGGAGATGGGGTTCAGACATTTTACACCCTTTTCTGACCCTTGCAAGGACCACAACTCCTGCTTGGATGATGGGGCTGGTCATCACATACTCTGCAAGACACACCACCAGAAGTTGACACATGGGTGGGAGCCTTAGAGGACTTTGGCTATCACTCTCATGGCAAGTAAGATAGCTAAAGGCGGGGGGGTGGGGGGGAGGCGGGGTTGGTGAAGGTCGAGGAGGGGAAGTGGGCAACTGAGTCTTAAACCTATTATAAATGGTATATGGGGAGGGCGGTTAGGTAGGGAAGGAGATATAGCAAGAATACTGAAGCAAGGGAAGCTTCTTTTTCTCAGACTAGTCCATAGGCCACGACAGCCTGAGCTGGGAGGGCAGGGCTTACCACCCACGCTTCTCCATTTCCCAGGCCTGTGAGGAAGACTCTTCTGGAATACTGGAGAAGCCAAAGGTGCACTGTGTGTGGAAGTTAGGATCCTCAAATAGCCTTTCATCATCATGTTGAGGGGGAAATGCAGGGAGCCAACCAGCATCATGAGGATAGGCATCTGGCTAGAGGCAGGTGGTGGCCAGGTCCCCCCTCCAGGTGCCTCTGGCTCAGCCATACCCCCCCCCCCCCCCCGCAGAGTGCAGGAGACATGCAGACAGCGCATGTGAGCACTGGGGCCAGTGGCAGCCACCACTATTGTTGGATGTTGACCAGGGAGAGGCAGGTATGTGATGGTTCCGTAAGTGGCCACCAAAACAGAAGTGTGCTAAAGGCCATTGCCTCCAGTGTGGCCTTGACACATGTACCAGGTGCAAAGTAGCAAGGACACAAAAGGGATCTGCAGGCCCCTCCCCTTCCCAGTGCTGCTTTGAGGAACAGGGCCTAAGGACCTGTGGCGCTCCTGGCCTGGAGCCTTATTCTCCAGGCTTGATTTGAAGCTATCCACAGAGGGCCTCTTCATCCCTACTCCTTCTCACTCTGCATCGACCAGGCCACCGTGCGGCACCCCCCGCCCCCAGTCCTTGTGAACTCACAGCTGCTGTCACAGAGTCCAGCTCCAGACCACCTTGTGTCACTGAAACCCTAAGTGCTGGGTACGGATAGAGCAGGAAGCAGCAGGGATTGGAGTACTTGGGTTCTGGGCAACAGTGGTAATCAGTGCCAGGTGATTTAGCCTGCTGGGTACCAGGAAAAACCTGGAGCCAAACACTGGCCTAATCAGTTGCCTTAGCAACAACATTGCCCTTGGCCTTCCCTAGACAAGATTTATTTTAGCCTGTTGCCCTGGTAACTCCACTTGCCCCCCAGGGACAGGAAGCGGCAGAACCTTAGCTCTGCTGGTGAGAAGACCACTCCCAACCTGAGGGGCCTACCTGTGCATCCTTCTGCAGGGTGCAGGGTAGCCATGGGATGGGATCTCCACATTCTAAATCCCTATGGAAGAATCTTGTTAACAGCGAGAGGAACCTACAAGGAGGAGAATGGGATCCTAAGCCTGGGGTGTTCCTGTCAGCCTCTTCCTCCCCCATCTGAAGTTCTCTCCACTCTGTGGAGGGGGGATGCAGGGACACCATCATCTTCCTTCAGCCTTCCCTCACCATGGCTCCCAGGCTCCAGTGTGGAGGCAATGGAGTTCTTCACAGTCCTGGAGACTGGCTCCTGTTTTCTCACCCACAGGGGCAGGTGATATGCTGAAGGCTGGGGCCAAGCCAGAGGACTGCTGTCTGCAGGGCTCTGTCACAGCACTGGCCAGAGGGACATGAGGATTTGGTCAGAAGCCAGTGGGAGCCTCCATAGTGTGCCTGCGGTGGGGTTCAGATTTGTAATCCCCAGGCTGGGTCGTGCAAGCGCCCCCTGGGGTGGGGTGGGAGGAACACAGCCCAGTCATTTAGACATTTTCTGTCAGGCCAGGGATTTTTCCATTCTTCGCTGCTCGCCTGGACACAGGAGGCCCCACGGAGGCGGCACCGTGGCTGCTCTGCGCCAACAGAGGCAGCTGCGGTCCTAGTCTTGGCCTGTGCCCAGGGAACTCAAGTATTCTGTCCTGGAGTTGAAGGTTGACCCAGTGTAACTTCTCTGATTGGTCATCCTGCCCTGGCCAGTGAGCTGGCTGGAGTCCATGTTGGACAGAGTGCCCAGGACGCTAGGAGGGGGGACGCAGGGAGGTCCTGGGCCCAGGCACCAGGCAGTAAGGAGATCCTTGAGAAACCACGGGAGTGTGAAACAGCAAGGGTCCTTTCAACTTCACCTCCAAACCTTGGTGCTTTTGGTAAGGAAGAGGGGTTGGGGGTGGCTGGGGGAAAGTAAGAAAAGTCTCCTCCTCCTACCATACAACTGACCAGCTTCCTCGGCTTCCTGGCTCTAAGCAGAGAAAATGGGAAACAGGGACAGGGACAGAGAGGTAATCAAGAGTGACAGAGAAAAATACTGTGAGAAGGGGACACAATATGAAAAACCCAGGGAAAAGGGATGGTGATCCATGCTGGGAGATCCACCAGGTGATGGGAGGGAGGGACGGGGCTGGGAAAGTGGGAACACAGACCCAAGACAGGATGGATTCTGAGCCTGACAATGGTGGGGAGGCCATGCCTGGCTGGGCGAATAGCAGCAGCTGGAAATATTTCCAGAAAAGTCTTCAAAGTAAATAAAGTGATAATACAGCCCTATCTCTCCTTGCTGTTCTGCTGTTAAAGGTCACTGGGTGGAAAGACCCAGTGAATCCCAAGAATGAACAGCTGCAGGGTCAGAGTCCCTGTGCAATGTGGAAAAGGGACAAACCTCTCTTGACAGCAAGGCTGAGTGCCGGGCCTCTCCTCTGCCACATGAGGTGTTTAACCCACGCTGGCTACCTTGTCACCACACAAACAGCTGAGACCCCATGGCTGTTGACATAACATCCTCAGGTGAAAACAGTCTGGGGAGGGGCTGAAGATGCACCCCACCTGGGAGTGGTCTACTGGGTCTATTCAGATGAGGCTGTCTCCATGCTGGCACTTCCTCCTCTGGCACCCTCCTACACACCCCAGTCACCCCCTTCCCTGCAGCCACCTAATTCCCAATGCACTTTCTCCCACTGCTAACTGGGACTCCAGTTCAGATGGAGACTCCCACCATGTCCAGAAAGAAATTCCCATCCCTGGCCAACAGCAGCATCATCTTCACTGACCCAGCTGCCACATGGCGGGTGGGGGTGTGTGTGTGTGCCTAAAACTAACCCAAAGCAAGACCGCTAGAGCCATTTCCTTTTTCTTTCAAATGCAGTTCTTTTCCAACATTGCCTGCCACAGCTTTGGTGCAGAGATTTTTGCGGTGGGGTGGGGGAGGCACATGGGAAAAAGAAAGGAAAAAAAACAGCCAATTGCACAAAGCCTTTTCCTGGAAAAGCCCAGGCTCTGGGGTGATCAGGACTTGTGACTGCTCTCCCCACCAACCACTGGAGCTCCGGCTTTGCTGGTCGAGGCACAGATGGGGATTCATTCCATTCCCCACGTAAAAGAGCTGTCTGGGAGCAGGAGAATGGCTGTGTGTGTGTGTGTGTATGTCTCTATGTGTGTGTGTGTGTGTGTGTGTATATATAATAGACTATATTAGAAAATTCTCTATGTATAAATATAAAACACTGGTATCCAAACATGACACCACAGCTAACTAAAGTGCTTGACAGGAGTTGGGCATGTCTAAGTATGTAGGTAGAACTATTCATCCTGAGTACCAGGATGAGGGAGGGAGCCAGGAAAGCAAAAACATGGAGGGCGGGCCTCCTTGCCCCATGGGGGTAGGGAGAAAAGGCAGAGCCCCCCCCCCCCAGCTTTCTCAGCCTGTCTGATTACCATCCCAGGTCAACACCATGCCTCATTTCCACCTTGACCCTACTTTTCCCACTGTGCTTCTGTCCACAAGGAGACCAGCACTGATGCATTGGACACGGGAGAAAGCTTGCTCCCACAGGGGAATGTTGGTCAGTCTCTGCCCACAGCTTCCTTCGCCCATAGGGTTGCGAGTGAAGGGACCACTATGTAT